AAGTGAAAAGGACATTTCAAAAATGGTGTTGACAAGCACCCAAAAACATTCTTTCTGAAAACGGTACTTCAGGAAGTACTCCAGAAAACTACAAAATAAATCCAAAACAAAAAGAAAAAAGACATGAGAGCTAAGAAAGCACTTTTCCAAAAGTGCAATTAAATAATGATATTAGCTAAGCATTATACTCAGAAAAAAGTCAGTTCATATTAGAACTTCAACAAACAGTATGATTAAAAAGCTAGATAACCAAGTGATATGATGAAGAAGGGACACCCTCTTCTACCAACAGGGGGAAAATGTAGTAATTAGAAAATCCAAAAATAAGTTATATGCCAAACTAGAAGCCAAACTAAAGTATGGGATAATCTTGAGTACCAAGAGAGTATAAAAATCCATCTATTCAATCCAAAAATGGGCAGAAGACCTAAACAGACATTTCTCCAAAGAAGATATACAGATTGCCAACAAACACATGAAAGAATGCTCAACATCATTAATCATTAGAGAAATGCAAATCAAAACTACAATGAGATACCATCTCACACCGGTCAGAATAGCCATCATCAAAATATCTACAAACAATAAATGCTGGATAGGGTGTGGAGAAAAGGGAACCCTCTTGCACTGTTGGTGGGAATGTAAATTGATACAGCCACTATGGAGAACAGTATGGAGGTTCCTTAAAAAACTACAAATAGAACTACCATACGACCCAGCAATCCCACTACTGGGCATATACCCTGAGAAAACCATAATTCAAAGAGTTATGTACCAAAATGTTCACTGCAGCTCTATTTACAATAGCCAGGATATGGAAGCAATGTAAGTGTCCATCGACAGATGAATGGATAAAGAATATGTGGCACGTGTATACAATGGAATATTACTCAGCCATAAAAAGAAACGAAACTGAGTTATTTGTAGTGAGGTAGACAGACCTAGAGACTGTCATACAGAGTGAAGTAAGTCAGAAAGAGAAAAACAAATTCTGTATGCTAACACATATATATGGAATCAAAAGAAAGAAAAGAAAAGAAAACGGTCCGAAGAACCTAGGGGCAAGACGGGAATAAAGATGCAGACCTACTAGAGAATGGACTTGAGGATACGGAGAGGGGGAAGGGTAAGCTGGGGCAAAGTAAGAGAGTGGCATGGACATATATACATTACCAAACGTAAAATATATAGCTACTGGGAAGCAGCCGCATAGCACAGAGAGATCAGCTTGGTGCTTTGTGACCACCTAGAGGGGTGGGATAGGCAGGGTGGGAGGGAGGGAGATGCAAGAGGGAAGAGATATGGGGACATATGTATATGTATAACTGATTCACTTTGTTATAAAGCAGAAACTGACACACCATTGTAAAGCAATTATACTCTAATAAAGATGTTAAAAAAAAAAACCCGGGCTTCCCTGGTGGCCCAGTGGTTGAGAGTCCGCCTGCCGATGCAGGGGACACGGGTTCGTGTCCCGGTCCGGAAAGAACCGCATGCCGCGGAGTGGCTGGGCCCATGAGCCATGGCCGCTGAGCCTGCGCGTCTGGAGCCTGTGCTCCACAACGGGAGAGGCCACAACAGTGAGAGGCCTGCGTTCGGCAAAAAAAAAAAAAAAAAATCCATCTATTCTCTATGGATCCCATCATACTACTCTGTTTAGCAGTATTATGTACATAATCATAATATGGATTAATGCTTTTTAGAATCAGCAAATATAACTATTATAAACCTTAAAAATATAAAATCAATGTTACAGTTGACATAAAATGGGAAGGGAATGTGGAATTCAAGGGAAAGATTGTGAGGGGTACTAATTTTCCTCAACTTATAAAGTGGCAAGTTTATACTTTCTAGAATTAACGGTGCAAGTGCTAGAAGTTTAATCACAAACACCAAAAAATAAACAAATATCAATAAAAGGAAGAAGGGCGAGAATAGGCATTAAAAGTTTAAATTCTTCATTTTTTCACAATGAAGATATATACTAGATTACTTAAGATTAATCAAAAACAATGTTTAGCATATTATATATAAAGCTGGGATAGAGCTTCCCTGCTGGCACAGTGGTTGAGAGTCCGCCTGCCGATGCAGGGGACACGGGTTCGTGCCCCGGTCCGGGAAGATCCTACATGCCGCGAAGCGGCTGGGCCCGTGAGCCATGGCCGCTGAGCCTGCGAGTCCAGAGCCTGTGCTCCACAACGGGAGAGGAAACAACAGGGGGAGGCCCGCGAACCAAAAAAAAAAAAAAAAAAACTGGGATAATAATCAGCAGAAGAATTAAAAATAGAAAAGGTCTCTCTGAGGAAAGAAACTAGTTAGAAGAGGTAGAGTTACTTTTCATTCTATACCTTGTGTACTATTCAAATTCTTATACTTATATGACTATTACATCCCAAAATACACACACACACACACACACACACACACACTCATTACAATCCCCATTCACTAAACAATTCAGGAAAAACACTGAGAAATTCTTTTTCATTTTTCTACATTCCATGCACTATACACCAAACTTCTATTTTGGTATTTCAAACAAGACACAATTAATTAAATAAGACTCAAGAACCACCCAAAACCCTTGATAAAATGTGGTGATAGTAATAGCTTACATTTGTGTTAGAACTGCCAAAACACATCCACACCCACTATCTCATTTAATCCTCACAACAGTCTTGTGAGAGCAAATTTTTGAGATTAATAAAGTAAAACTCGGGCTTCCCTGGTGGCGCAGTGATTGAGAGTCCACCTGCCGATGCAGGGGACACGGGTTCGTACCCCAGTCCGGGAAGATCCCACATGCCACGGAGCGGCTGGGCCCGTGAGCCATGGCTGCTGAGCCTGCACGTCCTGAGTCTGTGCTCAGCAACGGGAGAGGCCACAACAGTGAGAGGCCCGCGTACCGCAAAAAAATAAAGAAAGAAAGAAAGAAAGAAAGAAAGAAAGAAAGAAAGTAAAACTCCAAAAGGTTTAAGTTATTTGCCAGCCCCCCCCCAACAAAATAAGAAAAATAATATAAATGTAATGGACAAGTTAAAAAAATTTTTAAATAACTTTTATACAGCCCTGAAATGTGAAAATGCTTTCCAAATTTATAATATGAGAATAACATGAGAAAAATTAAACTTAACAGTACGAGTAGCCACTTTGGAAAACAGTTTAGCAGTTTTTATAGAGTTAAGCATACACTTACCATATGACTCAGTAATCTCATTTAGGTTAATACCCAAGAAAAATGAAAACACATCACACAAAGACGTGCACTCAAATGATCACAGCAGCTTTATTCATAACAGCCAAAAACTAGAAACAACCCAAGTGTCCACCAACTGGTAAACAGGTAAATTGTAGTATGTCCAGATAGTGGAATACCACTCAACAAGAAAAAGGAACAAACTAATGATATATACAACAACATAGATGGATCTCTGAAGTATTGTGCCATGTGAAAGTAACCAGACACAAAGGACTACATATTGTATGATCCTACTTATATGAAATTCCAGAAAAGCAGAATTATAGTAACAGCAAATCAGTGGTTGCCAGAGTTCAGGGAAGAGGACTGACTGTGCAGGGGAATGAGGGAACTTGCTGGGATGATAGAAATGTTCTATATCATGATTTTAGGGTTTGTTACGCTAGCGTATAAATTTAGCAAAATTCATCAAAGTAAAAATTGGTGGATTAAAATTGGTGAATTTTATTGTATGTAAATTACAACTCAATAAGGCCAATTTTTTTTTTTTTTTTTTTTTTTTTCGGTTCGCCGGGCCCTCCCTTGTTTTGCCTTCTCCCGTTGCGGAGCACAGGCTCCGGACGCGCAGGCTCAGCGGCCATGGCTCACAGGCCCAGCCACTCCGCGGCATGTGGGATCTTTCCTGACCGGGGCACGAACCCGTGTCCCCTGCATCGGCAGGCGGACTCTCAACCACTGCGCCACCAGGGAAGCCCAATAAGGCCGATTTTTAAAAACTCATTAACACATAATCATATTTAACTATTGACAACAGCTTTTTAGCCTAAGTATTAACTACAGAACTTCAAAGAGTATTAAAAATCACTAAATTATTAAGAGGTAACTTTTAACCAGAAAATAGATATATGAGAACTTAAAAGCTCTGAGAATGTAGCCATCTTCATCCTACTGAATTTGGCCATGTAGATAAACAGTAGTTGCCTGGCAACTAATCTAAACTCTAGTCTAGATTTCTAATAAACACACTGACTACATTAGCAGATGATCTCATGGAGGATAAACTAAGCTTTACATTGTAAGAGTTCCTTTAGTATTAAAAAATAATAATGCATTTGAATTATTTATCTAAAGTATTTATCTATATAACTTTAAGAAATAAGTAATAATTATTTCTTATTATTAACAAGGAATAATAAAAGTAGATCATGAAAAATTAAAATATGAAATTAAACATACATACACACACACACACACACACACACAATCCCTTTCCTCATTCAGTCTTTTACTATAGGACTTTACTTATCTAACTATGGGATTACTGAATCCATGAGTTTGTGAGTGAATCCTTCCTCTTTACTACTTTAAGCCCTTTCCCTGCCACCGCCCAAACTGGCTCAATATATCTGAATACTTTATTTATATATTTACATGTCTTTAAATGCATACAAGTTAGATACTTTTCTAGATATTAAATCATTCTAAAGACACCTCTCTGGACTGTAGAATCTGTGAACAATACAGAAAAATACACCATGAACTTTCTGTAACATCCATGCACACAACACACCAGAAAGCCAAACCTTCTTGATTATAAATGATCAAAATCAAGAATTACAAAGAATTCCTAAATAACAAGCAAATTCCTAACACATATGTTAAATATCATTTCTATCTTAGTGGACATAGTATGTCAGTTTACTTTGTTAACAGCATCAGAAAAAAATATCAACTTCCAGGACACCGCTTAGTGTTAGCACACTTACCAACCATATTATTTTCAGTTTTGTTGAACACTTACCCCTCTTCTGAACCCAACCTTCTTTCACAATGGTAACATCGCTCATGATGGCGCCCCTCTGAGCCCCCAACTTGGAGAAAAGGTACTTTGTGATACCAGCTTTGGGGTTTGGATTCTCTGCTGCTGCTGCCCTTCCCACTCTCTAGTGATGACTCAGCCTGGAAGGAAGTATTGAAGAAAGAATTTCTTTTTTTTCCATTCTTGCAACTCACACAGCAATAACAAACAACTAATTCTTTGTAAATGTCTTCAACTGGCCTGACCTCACATAAAAGTCTAGCTCTTCAAACTGGGGAACTTATTTATTAAGTAGTTTTATAACGAATGCACTTCCCTGGTCTTGTGACAGAACTTCAAAGGACAGTGAAACTTTTAACCTACAAGGTTGCAACAAAAAAATGTCTTAAGAAAACCACTGTCACACCTACACAAATAATACTGAAAATTTCCTTGGTAATGTGTGTTTGAGGTGAAAAGGGAAGAGAATGAAAGTGAGGTGGACTAAAAGTAAATCTTCATGTATGTCTAGTTTCAAAATCTCAGTAAATTTAGAAATAGTATGGCAAAGCAATTGTGAATGTTTTTAATTGCTGGATTTTATGTAAAATGTGCTAAGTAACCAACATTTATCTATGCTTACTCTGCCTTGTTCCAAGAAATATTTTAGGTAGATTACAATAAATAAAATATTATAAATCATATAAAATCAATTATTTTTTAAAGTAGATGGAGTGAAACAAAGGGAATATGAAAGTGGGAAAAAGTATGGAGTATTCAGGACATGTCAAGAACTATTACAGGTGCTTACATCTATTATACAATTAACTCCATTTCATAGATGGGAAAACTGAGGCTCAGAGATTAAGTGGCTTGCCTGATTTCAACACAGCTAATGAATGATGGCACCAAGATCTGAACCCAATCTACCTGATTCCAGAGCCTGCATTCTTATTGACTTAAGATAAAAAGAAGCCAGAGTAAAAATCTACATATTTGTGAAAGATGGACCACAAATTTAACTTGAAGCTTTCAGGAAGCAATACAAATAAGGAAATACAATCAGTTTCAATATTTACAGTATCCATAAATATTTTAAAAAAGAAAAAAAGAAGTTGTTCAGAAGGAAACAATTTGTTCTAGGACAAAAATCTGAAATTTAACCCATAGGTCTTCATAAGATACCTTGTAGTGTAATAAACAAAAGCCCTCAAAAATATCCTCACATCTATACAGGAATATATATGAGCTTTACTGGCTATTTCTTATTGTCCCTCTCAAGCTAAAAAGGAAAGTGCCAAGATAAAGTTGAATTAAAGCATTTCCACAGAAAGGGACCAAAAAACGTGACCCAGGAACCCAGGCATAAATTTCAGATAACCAGAAAAATGGATGTATGGACTATATAACTATACTATTTTCTCAAATATGGTTTTAATAAATAGTACATAGGAATAAGTTCAAGGTTAGACTTCCTTGCTAGTGCTGAAATGAATTACAGTTCTTTTTCCAACGCAAATTAAGTACAGAGCCTAATCATTTAGCAGTCAGGAATTAAGACTACCATTCTCTTAAGAAAAGACTGACAAAGTTTACGTGGCTGAATAGAAGACCACCCCACTCATGTGCCATGGGGCTGAGGGCAGCAACTACAGGCTGGAGCAAGACTGTCCTCAAAATCATTCAGAGTCAAAAGGAATATTAGAATCTCGGTGTATTCTCCCAAAATATGTTTGACAGAATACGAAGAGAAATTCCAGAAAAAGAAGAAGAAAAAGAGGGTTAAAAAAAGAAAAAAAAAATTATTTGGTCAAGTAAGTTTGCAAAATTCTATAAACCATGTCTTTCTCTTGAAACAACACTATTACCATATTAAAGGTACAACATATATAATGTATAACCTTATTTATCTCAGCAAATCCTAAACTTACTTGAACACACAGGGTTTTTTTTTTTCCTTTAGTAACATGTATTGAAATCCAGGGGAACACACTGTGAAAAACAGCCATAGGAAATGGCCACATAATTCAAGACAAGACCCATTTCACCATTAAAAACAGGCAAAAAACAAAAACAAAAAAGCTTTCAGTAAAGAATCAAAACATCATTTTAATGTGATTTATCTAACTTCCTGAAGAACTCAACATGGTCAACTGGCTACTTAATATGAAGCTAGATAACTGAAAGGGTTAACTCTTTATACAACATAAATAATTACAATTAACCCTTGAACAACATGGGTTTGAACTGTGCAGGTCCATTTATACATGGATTTTTTTTCAATAAATACAGTACCTGCATTTTCATTTTACAGACCTTTAAACTAAGTGTGGGGAAAAGTTTGTGTTCAATTAGAGACCACAATATGTAGAATCAAAAGAACTAAAGTTTGAATCCTTATTTTATCCACACTGTTTCAGCTTCCTGCCCTTGGATAAGTCATATATCAATTCCTTTGTTTTTGAGACAGAGATAGCAGTAGGCAGATCTTTGACACTGGGGTTGGGGTGAGGGAAGCAACCCACCCCAGTACTGGTCAAGAGTCAACTGTATAAGGGAGTTAAATATTAGGGACACTAGTGCAAAATGATGTCTTTAAAAGAACTGCACTTAGACCTTCTCTTTGGTAGTACTTACAGCAAGAGGCCTCACATCTATTAAGCCATTCTTGGTTTCTGACTATAAAATTGTATACTCTGGGTAAATGAAAATTCGTATCTTAATATCCTTGGGATTGGAAAGGGAAGAGATCAGCGACCAACACTTAGCAATAAACAAAAAATAATACACATCCAATAAACATATATAGAATATTTTCCTATTAAAATAATTTGTATTATAATACCCTTATATAAAACACTAGAAAAACAAAAGTATTTTCAAAATTGGTTCTATTTTTTTTTAAGTGGACATTTCACTGAAAGAATCTTAAAGCTAGAAGGGACCCTCATTTTACAATTGAGGAAACAGAAATCAAGACAGATAAGTGACTTGCCCAACGTCATACAGCTACTTTATAAGAGAATCAAGACCACAAAAACAGGTACACACTTTCCACTAGCACTGCCTCTTCAGGACAAAACAATATATTGAAATATTCAGATCAACCCAAAATCAATGAATTCTGTTTTATAAAGAAACTGTTTCCAAAAACTAGTTTTTTAGATAAAGATGTTTATCAGTGCCTAAACATTTAAACTTTTTAAATGTATATTAAATCAACAGGACAAAATTTATCATCTTCAACAGGGCCAGTGAACCAGGTACTACAAAGATGGCTTTATCCATTTTGCATCTTAAAATGTTACCAAATTCCACCCATATTCATAATTTTCAGCTTTAAAATTGCTCTGGGTCACCTCTGGCTAAAATGATACACTATTTGAACACAATTTAAAAGACGTTCAAAGGTATACTACTCTAGGGTTATGATCAATAAGATAGAAATAAACGCTGTCTTTAGTATAGAACCAATGCTATCGACTCTCAAGCAGTAAACTATATTCTTTGATCTACTTTTCCTACAGTGGCAACACTCTTGCACCAAGTCAAATACACTCTCCCACTCAGTCTTCCATGTTACTAAAAACACTAATCTGCCAAATGATGGGCTGTACTTCAGGCATGTAATCTGCTTCCTAAGGTAGAGTCCTACAGTCCTAACTTCTTTAGAAATGTGTTCTATCCAATGAGCTGTAAGAAAGAAAATTTGGTATATTTTTCTTTTAAACCTATTGCGTTAAACATTCATTGCTGGGTAATCTAATTTTTCCCATTCTTATAAAAAATTTCATACAAAATTCTTAGTAGATTCAATTTATAATTCACACAAAGCAGTTGCACTAAAAGTATTTTCATACAAAATTGAGAATTTGATAATGATAATTACATTTGAATGTCATTTTACAATTTACAAAACATTTTCACATCTTTTACCTCATTCAATAGCATTATTATTTAGTAAAGCAATTTAATGCTGCCTGGCACATGAGATGCTCAACAAATATGGAATAAATGAATGAATGGATGAGTGAAAGAACAAAGATGCAGCTTTAGATACCTAATAAAGACGAAGCGAATTAATACTGTAAGTCGACAGAGAATGGTATGAAGCCATGGGTAAAAACAAACCTGAACTTAAACATTATGGAAGCACCTACAAAAAAATAATTAAAGTTGAAATAAATATTCTTCCCTATTCATTAAAGTATGTTTCCTATTAATTTTAAGGCCTAACACACATTAAAATTATCCTTTTTTCTCGACTTTTTTCTCGACTCTTTTTGTTGAGATGGTCAAGTTTCAATTCCCAAACAAATTAGGCATCAACACTGCCCAAAATTATCCATTATGGGAGGAAAAAGGGAAAGAATAGGAGATTTTCTTCAAGATACTTTTAAGAATTTTTAAAAGATATCTGTTTACTTACAGCAGCCAACCATTCAATTTTAAGCAATAAAGTTCTTCAAACATCTGTTTAAAATATCATTCGCGCAACATTATATATATATATGTATATATATACACACATATATGTTCATTCAGTCAATAAAGATGTATTGATTATCTACTCTGTGACAAGAACTATAATTGAGTATACGGGGGCAAGCAAAACTAAGTATTTCAAAAATCTTTTCCAAACCTATAATAATTTGTTATCAAAGTGCTTTCACATATATTTTCTCATTTAACTCTGAAACAAATTTGTGCAATAGCTATAACATCTACAATTTTGAACCTAAGAAGACCGTAACCAATCAATAATGATGACATTTCCTCACAGTTACCATAACAAGTTAGTGACAAGTAACTACTTCTTCTATCAGTTTGTTATGCTTGCTACAAAATAACACAATATGAGCTCTGAAAAACATGTACAACATTTGTGAATAGTTCTGAACATTTTTTCTGTAACAAATTATATTTCAGTAAGTCCAGTAAAGCATGTTTTCAAACAAATTAAAAATTAAATATAACTACTGCATCACAAACGAAATTATAATAGAAGACTAAAAGTTAAGTTGACATAAAGTTAAAAAGCACCCCAAGCAATTCTATTTTATAAAGAGCAAAATTCATAGGTTAATAATTTCCTGTATGTTAATTTCTAAGTTAAAAGCCATGATACAAATCTATAATACAACCTTCTATAAACTACGTTTGGCTATAATTAATACTATGTAGAATATACTTGCTCTGCACCCACATTTTTTATATACTTTAGGTACGCTAGCCAAACTAAAGTAATGAACTGATATCCAAATACAATAGAAAGTTGCTACTCTGAAAAACAAGGATGGTCAAGGGTAACCATGGTGTAATTCTATGATATTTACTGATTTTAAGAAATAGGTGAAGCTAATGTATGCCATAATAAATGCATAAGGCTAATGAAACTTTTAAAAGGATTTGAGGGAAAGGAAAAATAGTGGAGTGGAAGGGAAATTCAAGGTAACCTGATCTTCACTTCAAATAACTCTAAGCCAGTCTGTCCTTTTAAGAGTTATCCTGCTAAAAACATATCATATAGGGAAGTGAACCATACAAACTATATACTTTGGATACCTTTCCTCTCTTCATACTACAATACACTTTGTGGATTTTCTTTCAACTCTTTCCATATAGATATCTTCACTGTTTCACACTATGGGAAAATACCTGAATAAGCAAAGGCAAGATTTCTAACTTTCACACAAAATATCAGTTATTCTAAATTGCCAATTCTTAAAAATCAGCTTTATAAACTTTGAAATATGCATATAAAACCATAAAGCATTTCCCCCCCTCTTCCCTACCCCTGTTTAGGGCATATACATGCCATTTCAACCAACACATCCATTATTAATCGAGTAAAAAAAAAGCAACTCATGCTGGGTGATATATTTAATATTCTAATTTGAAACAACTAAGAAAATGCTTATTGGATTCTTCTGGCTCACCTAAACCACTGAACAAGCTCCTGACAAATTCACCCCTACATTTCTCATGTAAAATGTGGCTTGTCTCTATTTGAAGGCACTTATGTAACAACACACGGACAGGTTGAGGGTTGCTACTAAAACAATCTTAGTTGCACAGTTGGCCATATTTTTCCAATACACCTGT